AGTTTCTCATTAGTGAAATTAATACAAAAACTGCTCAAAACGCACAATTTAAACAGATTTGTGATTCATTTATCTCAATCAAGTCAATGAAGATGTAGTCAAAGAACTTTAACTTGTGTAAAAACTGGAACCTTTTTGAGATTTCTTGGTTAGATACTCAGCGATTTCATCTTCACTAATCTTCTTCGAAGACTTGTCCCCGTTTTTTTCTTCCTACTCCTATGGTCATCGAAATCCGAATCTCGATGCTGAATGTGCTTACTACTGCGGCTTCGTTCTTTACATCTCCCAGAAAAACATCGTCGGGGAGAAGAATCATGGTTGTCGGAGTCATCCGAGATGGAGGGGGAATTATTATCACGAGTGTGTCTTCGCTTGAAGATGGACATACATCTAAATTGCAGCTAAAAACCTGTGCAATATCTTACCTTACTCCGAAACAGAATTTGATCTAGATACACAGCAGTTATGCTTCGAAAGTAAAGGTATGGCATATAAAAAACTAGGGTTTTGTAAGTGGGAAATTTGGGGATACTTCGGGGAGTGAGAATGAGAGGATAATAATCGAGAGAGAGAGTGAGATATTGATTTCGTAATTTTGATTGGGGTTCCTCGACAATGAAGTGTTCGTGATATGGGGTTTATTGAAATGGATATGCGGAGAAGAGAGGGTTTGTTAAAATTGGGGGAGGGTTTATTTAACACTGACGCCGACGAACGAAATATGAGGAAATCTGGTGATAAGGATGAATGGAGTATCGTCGATTATGTGTGTGGGGAGAAAGAAAGTTGCATCAAAAAAACGCTTAGGGCGGAGAGGGAAGTGAAAAGCGGGCTTTTCTAATTTTGGGTTTTTCTTTTCCCAATTTGTTACTAAAGAACGCACGTTTCATTAAACATTATAAAACGACATGTTTAGATGACACACATTTATAATAAGCACCCTTCGTGTTTTTTTTTCTGACACTAAGTTTAGGGCACACAAAAATGCACTTCCTAAATCCTTAAAATTTCTAAAGAGCTGGCATTATTTTTAGGTCACACACTTTTGCGTATCATAAATTAATTCGTATCATAAATTATGTGTCATAAAAGGCTGGTTTTCTAGTAGTGAAGGGACTCTAAGGACCCATAAAGTTGCTAACTTTAGAGAGTCCTAACACTCTAACTCATATAACCATGGATAATCATGCATAAAACCTTAGATCTAGCAACAAGAAATCAAAAAGCTTGAATCGTGATTACTCACAAAGGTCCAAAGATGTTGCTAACAAATGGAAATGAATCTTCCAAGTTGGATCTATGCTCCAAAGGTGATCCTTTCTTCTTCAAGCCACCAAAACACCACGAAAACCTCAAAAATCACAAGGATATTCTAGTGTTTGGGTTTTTTTCTACGTTTGAGGATGAAGGAGGTTGTAAATGAACCCTAAAATGAAGTTTATGGTTTTTAAATATGAAGGAAACCCTAAAAGGTCATGGGCTTCGGCTGTAGTACATCTTACATCATGAACAACAGTGTCTCACGGTGTGAGCTTAGTTAAATCAACATTTTAATTTAATCACTTGTCACTTCATGACGCCTGGTTTTACCAAAAAACCATGCCTTTGACTCCTTGAAACCCTAAATTGATATGTTCTGGAAACTGGGTGTTATAATTATCCCTCACTTAAACTAGATTTCATCCTCAAAATCTTTCTCGCTTCTAATATGGAAGTAACCCCTTGGTCCAAAAACCCTGCATCAAGCCATGGAGATAGTCAAAATGGAATGGCAGTAGTTTAGTTCAATCCAACCCAAAATAAGGTATCATGATTCGGGTCTTAACTGCAAACCCAACTTATTGACAAGTCATAATTAACCAATTACACCCACGATCATAATTATAGCAATATCAAAACTCGTGTGAAACTCATGCTTTCAAAACAGCACCAGGTACACGACTATTTGCCAAAATTCACAAGAGTCTCAAAACCACAGGTACCACTCGCCTCCTGGTATACCCAACTAGTGTACCTCCCCTCCCATGTCAATCTAAATGGATAGGTTATCAGCAACCCTAGGTCTATAGTAGTCTTGAGGACTATCAACAGTCATGGAGTTATCAACATCTCTAAGAATACTCATACATCCACCAATTACTAAGAATCAACAAGTCTAGTATGCACACCACTATAACATAGACAATACAGTGACAAGACTCACATGAAATCTCATTATAAGACGAGCACAACCCACTAATAAGAATCCCAATATAAGCTACTAATATACCATCATGACTTCTCCTACAAGCCAATGCTCTACAACTACCCGACTCTACTATACAACTGACAGCCCCACTCACACAAGTGAAAGCTATTATAGCTCATGACACGTCATGACACTATCCAATCATTTTGGGATTGGACTATCCATATTTAAAGCTTGAAGATCATTGGTCAAATTTGAAACATGTGATATGTGGAGGGGACCAATGGAATCTTAGGTAGTGGGGTGTGTAGTGGAGAAAAATGAGCCAATAGCACTCCAACAATATTTGCGAGGGTGGAGTCTCAGTCGCACAACAATTGTGAGGGTACCCGCACAACTACACACTTTTGGGCATTTTGGTCATTTTACTCACCATTTACTTAGTGGGTTAGGTCTAGTAGCTCATTCTTCGATTTGACACCATTAGAGACCATTGGAGGTGATTTTTGGAGCTTGATACTCATTCTTCTCATCTTTCTAAGTAATTGGTAGTTTTTGATGCAATTATACTTTTGTGATTGTTATTTTGTTGCCATGAGTGGCTAGTTTCTCTATTTTGCTTAACTTTAGCTAAAACCCTTGGATATTTGTGGGTTTTGAAGTATTTATGTGTAGTTTTCATTTATCTTATGTTTATTTTTCTAGTTCATATTTCTTATGCTTGTTTAATAGTTTGATCATGAGCTTAGTACTTGAATGAGCAATTGCTGGTTTATTTCTTTGGTTTAGCATTGAATCATTGAATTTACTTAGAACAAGGGCTTTATGATGGTAGAAATCATCTCTAGCTTATGAATCATGACTCTTTTATGGATGTGTAAGCATTAACATCCTCTAGGAATTGAGGATTCCTTCATTCTTAAGGCTAATCAACTTTCTTGGGTTCAATTGCTTCAATTGAATCCTTGATTTTGATAATAAGGTGTGTTGTGGGCTTCCCCAACCTCCATACTACCTATGAGGAATCTTGGCATATCATCCTTCATGATTGCTATAACCAATTTGGGATGAATGATAAGCTTCATATTGAATCCTAATTATTAACACAAAAGTGTTCATTGTTTTGAATTGCCTTTGTTAACCAATTATCCCCAATATTTGAGCATCTCACCATCTTGCTTAATTGCAAGCCTTTTTGTTATTCAAGTCTTTTAGTTTTCAAGGAATCACAACAACCCCCCCACCCCCACCCCATTAGTTTAATTGTAGCTAGTTAGTTTTATTACACTAGTTTATATTGGATTGCATTGGTGATTGAATACAACCATTTTCCCGAGGATCGATACCCCTTTTTACCATTATATTACATTTCATTTGCAAACAAATGGTGTAATTTTCTTGGTGGACTTGACATCCTACAAAGTTTTGGCGCCGTTGTCGGGAAAATTGGTTATTGTTGTTTGATTGTTTATGCCTAGGTCTACAAGAACCGATGGACTACTCTACAATCCGGAGATTGAAAAAGAAGCAAAAAGGTTGAAAACGTTAGCCAAACAAGTAAAGCTACAACAACTAGTTCAAGCTTCTTCCTCTTCTCCATTAGTAAACACAGAAGATCAAATTCATACTTCAAGTGATAACGACACCAAACCGTGTTATCCAATTGTTGTTCATTCCTTTGAAGACATTCTGTTTGAAAACTACATAGCCATGAATCACACTCCACCTCACAATCCTAACCCAAACACAAACCCAAACAATTAAGATGCCAATACCCCACCCCAACAAGCAAGACAACAACAACAACACCAATAACCTATCATAGATATGCCACCTTGTAATTAACCTCATCCTCACCCAAATCAACCCAATTATCAACAAGCACAACCACAAAACCAAAACTTCCAACCTCAAAATAATGCTTTTCAAGTTCAACAACAACAATCACATCAACCAAATCGACCAAGTTACCAACAACCTCCAATGTACCAATACCTAATGTATCCCAAACAACAACAACACCAATTATTTGTTCACCTATAGTCTATTTAACATTCTAATTGAAAGCGACGACGAAGCTCCCATTACAAGAGGAAAACTCAAGGTGATTCATGAAAAAATAGATTTATTGCTCCAATCATCACAGGCTTCACCTGGTGAAGACTATTCATAAGCAACAATCAAATTGTGCATTGAGACTCTTATTAAAGGGCACTCCACTAACCTTGAAAAGCCAAACAAAGCAGTTGATGCTTCTGCTTCTGTCTGCAACAACACAACCGAAAAAGTCGATAAACTAATTATTGATGCTCGTGTATTCATGGAGAAATTTCAGAGCTCCTTTGAGTCCAACACCGCGAAGGCTAATGAAGTTATTTCTAGCCTAGGCTCAACTCTTAAAATAGAGAAATTGAAACTTGAATAGGTTCACACTAGTCTTCAAACTAACCATGCTGAGTTCAATACCTCCATTTCCTCGAAGATCACAAAGCTTCAGGAGGACTTAGCCACCGAGAGCAAGATAATGGATGCTCTTGCCATACAGACTGAAAAGGTGAAAGTCTTGATGGTCAAGTTATAGAATGCTGAGAAACGAGTCAATGATCTGCTATTTGAAAAAGCTGTTATGAAAATCTATATAGCAGATGTCAATGCACTGCTTTTAGATATTATTGAGACTCATGACTCGATGATCATGATAACAGTCAAGAAGCATCTCCCTGAGAAAATCAGGACCGTATTTGCCATGATTCATAGACTGTAAGGTGTTCCGGAATCAAGATCTATTCCGAAACAAGGGGGAGAAGAAATGAAACAATCCAAGAAGGAAGACCCCAAACCTTCAGTCAAGTTCATTGTCAACCCCAAAAGCGAAACTGAACCTAAAGGCAAAGAAAAGCCTTTCAATGAAGAGCCAATTATCGATAACAGTAAAGATGAAGAGCCTAACAAAAATGGGATAAAAAGAAGAAAGGAACATGAAGCTCAGATGGATGAGCCTCAAAGAATAATTCGCGAGGCTGAAGCAAACTAAAAAGGCGAACGTGAAGCTCAGGTCATGCTGGAAAGCGGAAATCTTTTATTTCGAGTATAGACTCTGAAGCAAATTCAAAGTGAAGTTGTGGATATGCCGAGTCAGTATTGGATGAAACCAGTTGTGTCATTCGATCTTCATAATACATAAGATTCGCAGTTGGACCTTCCGATCACTCTGAAAGCCTTCAGGTTTCGCAGCTTTGTGAAAGTAGTGAATGTCCAACCAACAACAGATAGTGGTGCAAACCCCTTACTTTTCTCGTTTTATCTTAAACATATAAAGCCACAGTACAAGACATGGAGTGCGAGCAAGATTACGGCTATGAAGGTCATTGGTCCAATTGAAACCGACAGGTTCCCAAATGTGAAGTTCAAGGTTGCGAGAGGTTCATCCATTCAGGTCCACGAATTCACCCTCGCTGATCTACCATACCTTAACCCTTATTACTAGATCGTGCTTTAGACCTTGTTGCTGAGATATGGACAGAAATATGAGCCCATTATTACTCACCTCAAGCAGATGTTAATCGCATACATTCAAGAGGTAGGAAAAATGGATGTGAAGATTATTGTTGTGCTGCGAAGGAAGCCAAGTGTACTCCCAAAAGAAGCCACATATACTTTTTAGAAATTGAAGCGTAGTAAGATACAAAGGAAGGATGGTGTGTGGCCTTTCAGATGAAATAACGAAACGATGCAGAATTTCATAAGGCTTGCTTCTTTCTTACTGATAAACATCTGTTCTCCACCTCTTGCATGAAGTATGTCTTGGACTAAGTCAACAAGCATAGGGGTAACAACAAATGTGACAAGAAGTGCTTTTTGGATATGATTCAATGGTATATCCAAGTTCGCAAGGTTCTGCTGAGCGTCATTCCAAAAGTTTTTGAAGTGCTGATATGGGTATATTTAATTTTAAAATTCATGCATTATCTTAATACTTTATGTTGATTTTATCTCCTTTAATGAACAAAAGGTGCTTAATTAGTTTAGAATTTTATTTTTCAGCAACAATGACATGCTCGGATGGAAAAAGAAGCAGATTTAGCAATTGGAAGCTTGGATCTTGGATTTTGAAGAAAGAAGGATGTTATTGGACAGCTTGACCCCTTGTCAGTGTTTTGGCCATATCTCATGAACCGTAATTCCAATTGACGAGATTCAAAATGTTCTAAAAACTAGATAGAGTTTCGGATGACTTTCGTGTTTTGAGAAAATGTTGATTCCAAACGGACTCGACGATTTGGCCATCAACTCGACGAGTTGAATAGAAGTTTCGCGATTCTTGACGCTGACTTCTCGTACACGCGATTTAAATGAAAAACTCGATGAGTTTGTCCATAAAACTCATTGATTTGGCTCTGTTTTCCGAATTTATAAATACTATCACTTTCATTCGAAACCCTAATTAATTCTGGAAGCTTTGGACGATTTTTGGAGGCCAAAAGGGTTCTTACAGCTGTGATTTTCGAGAATTCAGCATAGAAGTCAATTTTAAAGAGATCAAAGGCAAACCAACATTAATTTTATCTTAATCTTTTGTGTGAACCATGTTTGAATCATTAGATTTTGATTTTATGATGTTATTTGTTGTAGTTATGAACTAAAAGCTTCATAGTTCTGTTTAGACTAGATGATCTTATGAATATGGTTTGATTGAGTAGTTTGGATTGATTTGAGTTGGTTATTTATCTTTTTAAGCTTCTTAAAGACCCTTATATGTTAATGATAATTATTTTCTGTTAATAATCAAGCTTATTGAGTTGTATGAACATCTTCTTAATTGCTTGAATCATATAGTTTTGTGAAAACAAGATTATATGTCTAGTATTAGTGAACATGAATCTACGGGTAACTAGAAAATAAGTAAGTTGATGTGTGAGCATGTGTGATGAGCAACCACATATGATTTGATTGAATTGATAAATTTAGGTAACTAATATTACAAGTCTTACTTGATTCGAACTAAACACTAGAAAACTTGTTAGTTTAATCACTTGATCATTGTTTGAATTAACTTGTTTGCTAAAGGATTAATAATAGTGAACATGAACCCAATCACGTTAGAAATCGGTAATCATTGATATATTGATCCATTACACTTACCACCAAATCAACCATAGGAATAAGTGAATCGAAATCTGAACAGAAATCTCTGTTATCTTATTGAATCTAGTTGTTTTTTTCATTCTCCTTTAGTTGTTAATTGTCTTTTGTTTAAGTGTTATTTGATTGATTAAGTTTCTAGTCTTGCAAAACTAGACAAAACCTCCTTTTTAATACTTGTTTTATTTAGATAATATTAGCTTTAACTTTAATTATTTACCGTTCCCTATGTTCGATACCCTACTTTCCTGAACTAAACTACTAATCGATAGGTACATTGCCTTTCGTGTGCTTGTTTCCGTTTCTAAGCTAGTATGATTAAAACCAGTACGTTCCACACGTATCAAGTGCAGAAGCAAACTCAGCCGTGAATGACTCTCGCCTTAATCGACGCAAAGGGGGAGATTGTTGAGTATTAAGTGTTACGTGTTTTGGGCCTTTGTATTCAGTCTTTTGGATATCCGAGTTGGGGTAGTCCACTCGTGATTAATGATTAAGGTTTTACTATTTAAGGTGCATGCATGCATCGTATGTAAATTTAATTGTGTCTTTGTAAACCTTACACATCTCTACAGTAGCATTTCTTTATTGAGTTTTTCTGAGGTTGTGATTTATAATCATTCGACACATTCTTGATTTATATTCCGTATTTGATTGTTCATACTTGTTTGAATCTAATCGATCTTAAGATTTTTCGACTCATCATCTTTAATTTATTGAAACCGGAGCCAATTAGTTGTTTTGTAATATTTAAACTTAAAATTGATTCAATTCCTAATTTAATGTGTTTTTTAAAATGGGGCGTCACCAACAAAAAGTATATAGCCATTTAATGTGTTTTTTTACTGAAAATCATTTAAAATGGTGGGCAATACCAACTTGCAGCTATATGATTTTTATAGTGTAATAATTTTTATGTATATGAAAAAATCTTTTACCCTTTTTATTCTCCATGTGTGCTTGTGGGGAACAAATAATTGATAATAATTTAATTGAAAAGTATTAATTGTTCAAATGATAATAATATTTATGTTAAAATGGCCATTACATAACAAAATTGTAATGGTTGTATGCTACTTTTGAAAAACTGATTTAATAATTTATCTACTTATATATAATTTATTTCACAAATGAGTTGTAAATTATACACCAAAACATTATTGGGTTTTGGCGTGTTTATCCAATAAAAAATTAGAAATATAATAAGTTTAACCTAACAACTTTAATGTAAGCTCCAAATTTATTGTTTAATAGCATGCAAATTTTCACTTCAGAAGTATGCTACTTTAATCAATAAAATATAACATCTTGTAAAATAGGTTACTCGGTATAAATGCGTAAAGTTTATATATATATATATATATATATATATATATATATATATATATATATATATATATATATATATATATATATATATATATATATAGGGTTAGGTTCATGTGAGACGATCTAATTTTGTGAGACCGTAAGAGGCATTTTTTTTATTTTTTTAAAATTTTTTTTAGTTAGTTCAAGTTCCGAAAATAATATTTAAAAAAAGAATTTTTTGATTTTTCCATTTATTTTGCATTTTAAAATTATTTTTAGAATATATACACTGTAATATTCTATTTAGAATATTTCACGTATTTTTTAAAAAAAAATAGAATTTTTTTTTATTTTTTTAGTTAATTCAAGTTCCGAAAATAATATTTAAAATTTTTTTTTTTAAATTTTTCCATTTATTTTGCATTTTAAAATTATTTTTTAGAATATGTCGGTGTAATATTCTATTTACAATATTTCACGTATTTCTCAAAAAAAAAAAAACGGGATTTTTTTTTTATTTTTTATTTTTATTTTTTTAGTTAATTCAAGTTCCGAAAATAATATTCAAATTTTTTTTTGATTTTTCTATTTATTTTGCATTTTAAAATTATTTTTAGATTTTGGTCTCACGGTCTCACAAAATTAGAATGGTCTCAAATGAACCTGAACCTATATATATATATATATATATATATATATATATATATATATATATATATATATATATATATATATATATATATATATGGTGAGGTTCAATAGACAACCATAATTAACCAAAGAATCAATGAATCAATCTTTTTTTCAACTTTTAAAACATATTTTTTATAAAAAAAAAACTAAAAATACAGAAATTCATAACTTTTTATCCTTTCCCAATGATATCAAATTCAATTTTTTTTATGTCAAATTCACAATATGAATTTTTGAAAATTCACAACGTGAATCTGAAAAATATTTTTCACATTCACAATGTTAATATATGAATTTAGATATATTTATATTTTTTTTTCGATAAATAGTAAGCTCTAGAAATTGAAGAAAAAAAAATTCCTTGAAGAACCAATAATTATGGTTCTCTATTGAACTTTTTCATATATATATATATATATATATATATATATATATATATATATATATATATATATGAGGGAAGGGTTATTTGAAAAACGAAAAAAACCCTAAAAATCATAAAAATGAAAAAAAAAAAAAGAATACTTAGAGATTACAAAAAAAAAAAAAATTAATTTTTTATAAAAAAAAGCTTACGTTTTTTAATAAATTCGCTGAAAAAAATAATAAATCAATTTTTGCTTTCTTTTTTTATAGACTAAAAAAAATTCAAAAGAAAATCAACGAATTTATTTAAAAACATGCGATTTTTTGTGATGTCTAAGTATTTTTTCTATGTATTTTTATGATTTTTAGAGCTTTTTATTTTTCATAGAACTTAAACCTATATATATGTAACGACGAGAATTTCCAAAACAATTTTTCATCAGAAATAAACATATCCAGAATCTCAAAAAACATAATCTTCTGTCAGTGTCTACAAATCATGTCGGTGTCTTCCCGCGGTCCTCGCTAGTACCTGAAATACATAACACATAACACGGTAAGCATAAATGCTTAGTGATTTCCCCAAAATACCACATACAACACATATTAGCCACTCGAGGCTATAACTCTGTATGACCCTCTGGTCAATGTGTCTCAGTGGGACCCTCCAGTCCCATAACTCTGTGGACCCTCTGGTCCTAACTCTGTGGATCTTTTGGTCCTAACTCTGTGAACTCTGAATCATACATAGCACAAATCACATCATACAAAAGCATACAAAGATACGCTGTCACATAACTCTAATTACCACTCTAGGAAAAGTGTAGTGAGAAGACTCACCTCGGGAAATCTCAAACAATCTCGAACTCGGAATACTGATCTAGCCTCCACCTAATCACATAAATAAATTACTCTAAATAAATAACGGCTCTCAAAGGCTAAATAAGTCTCTTACTATAACTTCTAGAAGGGTAA